AAAGTCAGGGAAGGAAGTAAACGTCAGACTACAGTGTTAGAGAAGGGAGTCTGAGCAAACAGAGAACATGAATCGAGAAGGACAAATCTGGCAATAATGGAAAGGAAATAAGTGAGAATGAGAAAAAGTGAGGATGTGGAGTTGATGCTTGCTTTTATTCTTCTTCTTTTTTTTTTTTTTAACAGGAGTGATGAACATGGTTAGAGGCTGAAGGATGTAATCTATTTAAGAGGCAGAAAGTAGAAGGAAATGTGAAATTCTTCTTCCTGGACAATTCAGGAAATCAGGGACAAGACTGGATGAAATTAGGAACTAGAGAGAAATAAGCCTTGGGCAGAAGGAATATCTCTTCCTCTGAGGCAAAGCAGGACCTGCATTGCGAGTCCTTTCTGTGCTTTATGGCACTGACAGGCCAGGTAATTTTGACACTGATAGAAGCCATGGTCCTGCCAAGGCATGGGAGTTTATTAAACAGATGGGCCAGTCACAGCCCCAGAATTCTGGGGCTGGGAGACAAAGTGGAAAATCATGACACAAGGAAAAAAATTAGAAAATGTAAATTCTTATTCTTAGACCCAAAAAAGGCATTAAATTTTATGTGAACTAGTAGGAGGAAAGATGAGTGTGGAAGGCGGGCCCTGGATTCCATTGTGATCAATAACTTGGGACTTGGAATCCAATAAAAGTAAGTTCATATCTCAGCTCAGGCACTTTCTAAGTACATGACCTTATGTCAGGCACTTGGCCGCTCTTGTTTGGGTTTCTTCGTGTGTAAGTTGAAATCTATGGTAATATTTTCACAAAATTGTTGTAAGAAGTGAGTGAGAAATCAATATGAAGCTTACAGAATGCAATAGAGGTAGCTATCATTAAACTTTATATTCCCTTATTTGGATTACGCAGACTAAGTATGAAAGTGGGAAGAGTTGTGACTATTCTAGCACAAAGGTTGTGATCTCCATGAAGTAGGAACAAACCATTTCGTGGCGCAGACTTATAAGGATTGAAGCGTGTAAGAGAGCAGTGTCAGGAGAAGGAAGAGAAAGTGACTGGGAACACATAAAGTTTGGTAAGCAGAGTCAAAGGCCCAGCTGAAGAAGGTAGCTATTATTTGTAGTATTGCTACTCTAAGTAGTCAAAAGTTATTTCTCCAGTATTCGGGGATGTGGGAAGGTTTTGGAGGGGCAAGCAGATGAGAGTGATATCCTTGGATGAGTGGGCAGATGGAGTTTGTGGTTGAAGTGACTGTGGAATCAGAAATGTAGGCCTGGCCTTGAAAGAAATGAAACCAGGAAGGAATTCAGAGACTGGGAGATTGCACAAAGGTCGATGATTTTAATAGCATCAGAAACACACATAACAGGGTGGGGGTAAGAAAAACTGCAGAAGTGGAATCTGTTAGATGAGCAGCAGAATGAAAATCACTGAAGTGGAGACGAGGTGAAGGAGTGAGATTCTGAGGAGTGGGAGAGACAGGGCCAGGTCACGGAGAAGATAGCCACAGACAGGGGTTGGAGCGTGATAAACTCATGCTAGGTGCTGTGGGATTTGCCTTAGGATGCTCTAGGGTAAACACACCTGATAGCAATAGCTTAATAATCCCTTTGGAATTACCCTGTATGGCAGGCACACCTGAGTGTGTGTTTCAAGCTAGGGAATCCAGGAGCAGCTAACCTGGAGTCCATGAGGAACATCTGAGCCCTCATCCAGTCTCATGGAACACAGACCACACAGGAGAATGAGTTTTGGGTTGGATGAAGGTCGCCAGGTGGAGGTCCTTAAGGAGGGGGGTTGTTAAGTGAAAATGCTACATAAACTGCATGCTGTTAGCAAGAGGTTGTGGTTTTCTTGCCCAGTCCTCCACCACTGGGCCGTGTAGTTATATTGTCTAGCCCACTGCTCCTGGACCATTCTTGTACATGAAGTGGTTCTCCTGTCCAGCCTGGCACCACTGGCCTCTTTCCCGGGTATGTAAACCCCTAGTAAAACCCCATATCTTTTTTGTTAGCTCTGGGTCTCTTCTTTGGTCTCTTGAACCTCAACCCTATTTGAGGTTAAAAAGGATTCAGCACTACAGATGCTGATAAGAACATTTTGAAATTGACAAAGCTAGAAAACTGTAAAAGCTTAAACTGATGAAAAAACTGTAAAAGCTTAGACTGCATTTACCCACAGGCTTCCTATAGCATATGGAGTTTGTAGGTGATCACACAGAAATTTAAGGCTAATATGATATTCTTCGAGGAAGAGTCAGTATCTCCCTTAAACCTGGAGTTTCAGAGCTGAGCACAGTGTGTAACACATTGACACATAGTAGGTGTGCAATAAATGTTAACTGAATGATTCTGTGAATCATTAAACTGTTTGTCATTTTCCAAATTACAAACCAAAGACGGCTTAACCATTAAAAAAAATACAAATCTTAATTGCTTTAAATTGGGAATTTTAAGACACTAAAATCTTCCTTCCAAAGCACAAAAGCTAGTTGCATTTTGGTATTTTTCCTTCATTCATGAATTCAGCAAATATTCATTGAACAACAACTATGTGCCAGGCACTGTTCCATACATTGGGAAAAACAGTAGAGGAAAAGGCAAACAAGGCCCTAGCTCAGGGAGCTTAATTCTAGTGGGGGAAACACAGACAGTCAGCATATAAAAATATATATGTTAATTTCAGTTAGGAGGAGGGCTGCAGTGAAATTAAAACAAGTAGTGGGATGGAGAGTAACCAGGAGTACTGGAGTATAGCTCTTTTATATAAGACAGTCAAAGAAGACCTCTGACAAGGTGACATTTATAACTGGGAACTGAAGGATAAGAAGGAGCCAGACGTGTGAAGATTGGGAGGTATTCCAGGTAAACAGGTGGTGTGAAGGACCTAAGGCAAGATCAGGTTTAACAGAGAAGGACAAAAACAAGATGAATATGTCTATTCTGGAGTCTAGTGAGAAAGCCCTAGCTTTTCCCAAATTCTTACATGTTTTAGCATATGATCACAGTGCATATGCAGTTTTCAAGGGCTGCATAATGGTTAAGAACAGTCTCTGGAGTGATGCTGCTTGCATTTAAATCCTGGCCCCTCCTTTTCTAGCTAGATAACCTTGACAAAATCTACCTAACCATTCTGGCAGGTTTTCTTACCTGTAACTTAGTGATGCCTACCTCATACTGTTGTGAATGTGAGATTTCACAAAATTATTTGGTTACCATTGATTGCACACTTACTTTGTGTCAGTGTGTTAGCCACTGTGCTGGGCCCTAGAACTCCACAGGAAAGGAAGATACTGAATCTTCCTCATATTAGCCTTAGACTTCTGTATAATCACCCACAAACTCCCTATAATACAGAAGTCATACAATAAATGAATTATTAATAATAATTTTAAAGTACTTAGGTAAATTCCTGGAACATAAATAGTACTTCTTAAATAAGATAATTATACGTTCCCCACCCCGCCACACACTGGATTATATGGGAAAAAGAAGCCATTTTGTTACATACTCTTAATGATTATTTTTCTTGGCTCTGAGTATCCCTTAATTTAATTAAATCTGTAAGAAGAAGCATGTTGTTAGTTTTTCTACATCACAAATCACTTGACAAAGAATATCACTATTACGCTTTGAAATCTTTCATAATAGTGATCACCTGAGTGGCAGAGTGTGGGTGAACCAATAAAAACTTTTCACTGATCAAAATCTCTTTAAGGGGCATGGCTCATCTTAATGGGTTTCTCATGAGGTTACACCTAAATAACAACAGAAAAGGTAAATATGTTATCAAATTCTATCCTGCCAGCTGAGTTTATCCTGCAGGAAAGTTATACAATGTTTCAAACAAATTATTGAGTTTCCAAAAAAATTGCATTATTTACCATAATAAAACAAATTTCTGCCTTCTGAAAAGTAGTCTATTTCTGTTAAACTAATAGAATTGGATATAATGGCTAAGAGACAATAAATGTGGGCAGATTAAGTTTTAAAAATATATTTACCATTGTTTTGTGATTTCCTGTTTTATCCTAATGTTCATAATGTTAAGAACATTGTCTAAAAATATTATAAAGTATTTTATGGACAATGACTTGAAAAAAGTATGGAATGTATCTACAGAGAAACAGAGAATTTATCTATGGAGAAACTGCTCGAAAAAGTAGTAAAGAAATTCCCCAGTCTGGCAAACTTTTTAAAAAATAATTGGAGGGATGCAAATGTAATGCATGATTAACTTGAATCAAGTGAAAAGACAAATGTGGGTGATATTCCTATTGAATATTGTGAATTATTGAAATAAAACTTTTAAGTAGTACATTGCAATTGTGTAATAGAAAGCATGCATTGTAATCTATTTGGTCTAAGTTAAATTTACTAAATAAAATTATACTTATGGGTATAGTCTTAAAGTCTGAAAAGTGAATTTCTAAAAGGCATAGTTGACACTTAATAAATCTGTATAGAATTTGCTAACATATGAAACAGAAACCTGCAAGGGGACTTTGAGATTAATTAATCCACCTGCTCAGTTTTCCAGATGATGTAGCCAGTTTCTAAGCAACTTTACTAAAGTCACAAAGCTAAAACTCTAACAGTTTTTTGTGTTGTACTACAATTTATCATTTTCTTTTACAGTTCTAAAAGTAATATAACTTAACATGCTTTTATGTTACTTTAACCATTGAATAGCAATATTTCATATTACTGAATAGCGTATTTTAAAATTTTATTAGAATTACTAAAGAATATCATCTCAAAATATTAGTATTCTAGATATTTTTCCTATAGTCTACAGTTAATAATTTTAAAAACAGGTCTCTAATTTTAGACATTTAAAAATATTAGATCCTAAATGAAAATTCCTACAAATTAGGTTTCCCTTGGAGAACACAAAAAAGGCATTATATCATAAATATGCCTAGCTGCTAACTCAATAAACTCCTATTTCTCTGACATCCCTTTCCAGCGTTGCATCCTTTTATTCTTTCTTTTTTGTGTTTACAGAAAACTGGGCACAAACCAGAAAGTGTGGATTTGTGTGGTGCACACATTGAATGGGCCAAGGAAAAATCGAGTAGAAAGAACGTCTTTCAGGTAAGAATGTTACATATATTCAATTTATTCCTATTCTCTCTAAATCTGAGCTCTCTTGGGTAACTAAAATAAGACTACCTTCTTGTGATGTGCTCATATACGTGAACTAGTTGTCTGAAGGTCGTTATGAAAGGCGACTCCTCTTCCCAGTTGAATCTTTGTTTTGTTGCGTTTTTTCCTGGAGACTGGTTGCTATCTAAATACAAAATATATGTTGCATGTTGATTAATGTAAACACGCAAAAGTTATTGAAGTTTGCAGTGTATGTGATAGATGTCTGGGGTTCAAATGTAGAATGCTTGACTTAAATAGATTTGATCTAGAATATTCAGATGCACACAAACTAAGATACACCAAGTATAAGCTATTTACATCCGTGACACTCTTGCCTTCCAGCCATTAATTACATTTACAAGTGTAACTTACGGGAATGGAGAGGGCTGAGCAACTATAAAAAATAGATTCTTTCATATTGCATAACTTAGTTTTTTGAAGAAAACTTGATTAATACTTATAATCATATTCTATTGAATGGAAACAACCAGATGAAATGCTTGAAAGGGATAAAACTGGAAAATGTAATTTCACACATGACGTTTCCAAAATCATTGGCAATTAATAATTTTAAATTATAGAGTTTTATTTTTGTTCTATTTTATATGAAATTTTATTTAATTTTATATTTCTGAAATAACTAATAATTTTATAGGTATATTTTAGAATTTACATAATTTAGTAGAAAATTATTTATTGTTTTTATAATTTATTATAATTACTTTTTAAATGTCTTTTAAGAGCATGTTGGCCCTTGAATACAAGTCAATTCTTTTGTTCTTAAGTGCTTTGTTGAAATTAATATTGGGTCCTATAAAAGCATAGGTAGGTGACACTTCCAACCTACACTCTCACTGAGGGGAAGGAGCTGGTTTCTAGTTTGGTTTGTATTTTCCAGATGTTATTGAGATATATCCAAATAATTTGGATCCATTTGGATTACCAAAATAAAACAAATATTTTAACACATTCTGGAATAAATTACTTTTCTAGTTTTATTCTATTTAGGTATAGAGATTTTTTTTATCAAAAAAGAATGTGAGAGAATATATACAATTATTATTCATCAATTAAAAATAAAATGTAGAAAAGAAGGAAATAAAAGGGAGAGAGAAAAGACAGAAGAACACTAAACACGCTTGGCCTGAAATCAATGCTCTAAAGCTGAAAGTGACCTAAATATGGCTTTATAGAATCAAGAAGAGGAAATAAACTTTATTTTAAAGGGAGGAACTATAGATCAGTGACTTCCCCTTTTCCCCAATTTCTTACTCATAGTATTCTGCCATAAATAACGAAATTTAGAGGTTAAAATCCTAGCTTTTTGACAACCTAGATGACCACATAAGAAAGCTCTGTACTAGACCACATAAGCTCAGTGGTAAAGCCTCATTATGTACTGCAAATTTAGCATCCTAATCTCCAAAGCTGTAAAAGACGCCGAAATTTGTCACAAACATTATTCTTGGACTATATCAACCCTTTGGAGATGGGCTAAGCCAGCCTTTTTCAGTTTCTTCTGATAACCTTACGAAGAGTTAAATGAGTTCACAAATAAGGATGACATTCAACTATATATGATGCATACAGGGCTAAAAATATTGATGAAAAAATTATGTATATTTTTGCATAAATATGAACATGCATAGATCTACATTTCAGCCACCTATATTGATAGTATCATCCTGATCTTTTCAGGATATGACTAACCACCTCCTATTGCAATTTTCTAGTTGACTTTTATATTTCTGAATGTAGGTCCTTCAAAGATATTAAAAACTATTCTCGTTTTTTGTCGCTTTCTGGAGGTAAAAATCTTGCCAGCTAGTTTTGTTGATAATGTAATCGAACAGTTCACGGGGTCTCAGTGTTCTTACAGACACTTTTTTTTTTTAATCTTGTACTTTTAGAGAAACAAGAGGTAATTATAAGGATACTGTGAATAACAAAGTGAAAGAAAAGATTCAAGTTTCATGTTCTGTTTCATTCGTTTTGAGTGAATCCCTTGGTTTCCCTGTGGTGCTGAAATCTTTTCATCACCTAAATGCATGAGTTTTGGTAAAATTTACTAATACGTATCCATAGATAGAGACTATGAGAGTAAGCCTTTCGAGAGGAACAATATAAATAGCTTTTATAGTTCTGTTAACGAAAAAGCATCGGGAAGGATTTGCCAGAGAGCTAAATCTAGATGACTTGCATCAATATTTGATTAGATACATTAGCTGGTCTAACTCTCAAATGATCAGAATAAACATGATTATGTCTCAAAAACATGGTATTAAGGCATTGTTGTACTTGGAGTATGCATGTGTGAGTGTGTGTGCAATGGTTTCATTACCTACAGAATAATGAAGTGTTTCTTCCTGACTGAAAAAGACCATCATAATTTCAGTTGATGTGCTACATTGGAAATAGCTTTAGAATTCCAAGTTTGAATTAGGCTTGGTGTTCAATCTCAGTCTATGAATTATAGATTACAGATAGCAAATGACTATTGAGATTTTTGGTTCAAGAAAAATCAAAGAGCAAAATTAGAAATAATTTTAAAATTTGAAATCTGTCTTTTAAAAGTTTGATGGATTAGCAATTATATGCCACATAATTACAATGTCTGCAGAGAAGTTGAACTTAAAATGAATAGGAAAACAAACAAAAAACTGTGTGTTCCTGAGAGATGCTTGCAAGTCTCAGAAGCACACATTTTTGACAACCAAAAATGGACAGATTTCATTTATTTCATTTGTTCATATATGCTGTTTGGATGTTTGAGTTGTTTTCTCTTTCTATTAAAAGCCAAATTTCCTTCCTAGTTGAAATCATATCAAACTATTGACGTGGATTCAATGTTATTTAATTGGTATGTGGAAACATAACAATGACAGCATTAATTATTAAGTTTTGGTATTCAACAACTTTGAGTAAATCAGAATGATGCTCACTTGCTAAGTTTAAGAATATCTGAATATTTTATAACAGCACATTTTTTGGCCTAATTGGTACTTCAGAACAATAAATAATAAAAGAATTAACTTCTATAATAAAATATATATTAGATGTTATAATTCATATAAAATATGTATATGTATAAAATATATATAGACTTATATACATATGTATATATAATGTACCCATGTATACATAACCTAATAGTTTGACCTTAGAAAATAGAGTGAGCACTTACACACACAACACACACAGACACACACACACACACACACACACACAGAAAGACACTACACATTTATAAAAGATCAAAGAAATTCTCAGTTAAAGTAGTAAATGTCCATTGCTGCTAACTTTTGTTTAACTCTGCATTTATGATCATTGTCAAGGACTATCACAAGTTTGATGTAGTTTGGGAAACATTTAGCAACTCAGCTATAATGAGCTGGGTACGAGTCTTCGTAGTTAAGAGCAACACTAGGTCTTCATCAGGGATAGAGTGAATAAAAAGATTTATGTTCAAACCACATGTTTTAAACATTCCTGCTAAGTGCTAGTTTGCTCTTTGGTGTTTAGCCTGAAATTTAAAGCACTAAGGATTAAAAGGATTACAACATAATCTTAAATAATCCTAAATGTCATTTACAGAGAGATAGCTGTAATAACTAAATAAAACCATGTTCAAGGATGGCAGCAGTGTCAGGCAGCCTCCGTAACACAAACGGGGCTACTGTCACCTTCTGTTTCCTGGCTGGGCACATTAGGCAGTTACAGTCTTTCAACAGGAAGTTCAACTGAGAAAATGACTGCAAAATACAAGTTTTTTTTTTTTTTAACTGTTAATATCTTATTTCAGAGTTGAAGGGAATTTTTCACTTAGGTTTTGTTTTTTCCTTTGAACACAAACCTTTCTGAGTATTTTGGAAAGTCTAGGGAAAGGAAGTTCATGGCATGGCTATAAAATAGACAGCTGAGACATCTCTAAAAACTTCCCCAACCTCCAAGGAGATACCCCTTTATTAAATATATGAGAGTCCCAAAGTACTATAATTATTTACATGTTATTAATTTTAGTACTCAAATATTCTTTACTTAAATATTCCGTCATCCAAATTAATTTTGTTTCCCCAGAGAAAGTATATAGACACAAACTATATCCCATACTGCCTTCTACATATTAAACCAGAAAACTGAACACTTTTTAGCTGAATAAGTTGTTACTACTAAGGCTAGAGTTGCATTCCTTTAGGGAAACAAAACAAATTCACTTTTGTCAAAAAAAAATTTTAGGGAATTGTATCCACAGTATAGGCCTTCTAACTCCAAACTTTCTAGGATGTAAATAGGGAGTAAAGATTAAGATAACTATCTGTTTCCTGGGTCTTTTTCATTACAAATTATAAGACAGCATTATTTATTTAAAATAAATAAATCATTTTTACTCGAAAAATTTATTTTTTCTCAGAGCCAGAAGTGACTAGGCTTCAGTTTTCCTGAGTTTCCTTTAAAATAAAGTTTTAAAACCATACGTTGGGCTCGTCTATAGATTACATGCTTTCAGTAAGGTAATTCTACCAATAAATATATCATGGCTGATTAGGAATATATCAGTTGCCTGCTTGCTGCTTGAAAGGCAGAAAAAATTAAATAACTTAAGAAGATGAAAGTCTGTTTTCCTCCCCACAACCCCCACCAATTTATAACCTCAACAAATATCATGGTTATATTTCCTGGATTTGAGATTCTTTTTCAATAAATTAAAAAATAGATCTCAGGAGACAGATTCTATCCCTGAAAGTAAACCTCAAAATAGATTTGTCATTATTTATATTACTTTTCTGACTTTGGATGGAGTCTTCTGACTATAATGTGTATTAAATATTTTTATGTAATATTCTCCATGGATATACATTACGTTTAAACATAATTTGATCTTTCTAATCTGAATATGTCTTAGCTTAAAATGTTTAAGTACTACTTAAGTTTATTAATGTGAAGAT